AGATAGTCCTCTTATTTGGAGATGTTGGACTCAGCCTTGAAAAATCATTATGAATATTTTGAGTATCACTTCTTCACCAGTTAAAGGCTCCAAGTAGCATTTGTATGTATCAAATGCAGGGCAAAGCATGGCTGATAAATACTTAGCAGTTAAGCTGTAAAGAGAAATCCACCAATTTCTTGGATTATTGGGCTTGTGAGGTCTTATTCTAAGCTAATGATTCTTCAATCATGATATTTATCACAATAGGAATAGCATCAACTGTCATAATTGGGGGTTACTTTAGCTTCTACCTATAGCCATGATATTTTGCCACTGTAAAAACACCCTCCTTAATAATTTCTGAAGAGTAGAGAAAGGCAATGAGACAGAAAAAAAAGTTAAGGGATCTTCCTCTACAGATGTGCAGGAAAAATAGTACACATATCCACATTATATGTTACATAGAGTTCCTAGTAAAAAGTCATAGCACATAGGATACACATTCACAGTATTTGTCACAAAGAGTTCTTAGTAAACATCATAGCACCCACACCCACACAATGTGTCACATAAAGTGGCTAGTAAACACCATTTTTCCATAGATTTTCTTCTCCATCTAAATAATTCCTCTGAGAAGCCTTCTTAAGTAAACACTACTTTTGCATTCCTGACCCTCTGTGTCTGCAGGCTTGAGCAATGGATGTCTGTTGGTAATAGATGAAAATTTCTTTATGTTCAAAGAAACAAAATTTTAAGGTGTTATCTCTTCAAAGAAATTCTCCTCTTTATGTGGGCAGGAAAAATTAAAAATAACAGCTCAGTGTACATAAAATAGAGATCTCCGGAAGAGGCCAGAGGTCTACAGCTTTGAAGGCCTAGGGAACCTAGGATCCTGTTAATTCTTCAACCATAAATGTGGTGGTATTGTGTTCCCCAAAATATTGTGCACCCTAATAAACTTATCTGGGGTCAGAGACAGAACAGCCACTAGATACAAAGGCTAGAAAATGGTGGCACTCACACCTTTAATCCTAGCATTCCAGAGGCAGAAATCCATCTGTTCAAGGATACAGCCAAGCATGGTGACTCATGCCTTTAATCCCGGAAAGTGAGCCTTTAATCCCAGGGAGTGGTGGTAGAAAACAGAAAGGTATATAAGGTGTGAGGACCAGAAACTAGAAGCTTTTGGCTGGTTAAGCATTCAGGTTTTGAGCAGCAGTTCAGCTGAGATCCATTCGTATATGAGGACACAGAAGCTTCCAGTCTGAGGAAACAAGATCATCTGAGGAACTGGCCAGGTGAGGAAGCTGTGGCTTGTTCTGTCTCTCTGATCTTCTAGTATTCACCCCAATAACTGGCCTCAGGTTTGATTTTATTAATAAGAACTTTTAAGATTCCTGCTACACATAAACCACAAAAATTTCCTTTAGATTGCCATCTTCTGTGTGTGTGTGTTTTTGTTTTTTTGATTTTTATCATAGATCATCTTATTTTGCACTGTGGTATCTTCTCAACACACTGCACTGCCAGGTTGTAAGACCAAATTTTATAGCTACAGGGGTAATAAATCCAAAATGATTATGAGGGATCCAAATGCTTTACTTTGCCTATGAGGCCATTCCTACTTCTAGAAACTGCATGTACTGTTAAATTCTTCTGTTTTCAGAAGCTTACTGAAACTCATAACAACTATAAGTACATAGTCCTTTGGCATGTATTTTCATACATATGATGAAAAGTCTGTCTTACCCAGTTACTTGAAAGCATTTTCGAGACCACTGGCTTTCTTAATCACCCTAGCTTTTGGTCCTTGTCCTTCTGGCAATGTGTATCATGCCTGCCACAGTACAGGTCAATATAGCTAAAATGTAAATGGGGAGAATGCAAGGCATCCAGGAAGTCTACAGCCAACTTTGTCATAGGTTTTCACAGGAGAGAGGGTATCAGGGGCCATGAGAGTGCCAGGCAACTGGAGCAGTGGGTAACTAGTGCGGATGACAAACGAAAATGTCCTTATGCAAGATTCAGCCAAACACCACTAAAATTTTGAGGCCCTCTTAGAACATAAAAAAGAGAAACCTTATACTGCTTTATTTTTGTAGTGTTCCTATCATTGGCTTGGTTTCCTGTAGTAAATATCAGTTTAAAGAAAGGGAAACAAAATAATTGCATAAGAGGAAATACAAATGGAGAGCTGGAAAAAATCCTATCTTAGATGTAAAGGATTCCTTGGGGTCTGACAGCTTCATGTGGGAATGAAGGAGTACTGAGTTTCTGGGGCTCAAATGAAGAGATTAAAAACATAATTTGGAACTACATAGAATCCTTAGCTTTTGTATGTTTGTTTTAATCTCTCCATAGAGTTAATTCTTACAACTATTATCTAAGACACTAACTTCCCAGGGACTCAGTGGCTATAGTGACCAGAAGTCATCATATTGGGTAGACTGCTCTAAGTGATGGTCTAACTCAGTTTATGCTTACATTTTCTTTATGCAGATTACAATTATGGCAAAGGGTCCTATAAATTTCTTCTGAACAAATTGAAGCAAAGACAGCAGTGATAATTGGAACCACACATGAACAGTACTGCTTATTTATGCATATCTCTTGAGCTCTCTTTAAACCTAAGCCTCATGCCAGGAACAGCAAAGACAGACTTGGAGTTCAATAAACTGTTTTTTCTCCTGTTCTCAGTGATAGTCACATGGAATACAGCTTCTTTCTCTGCTTTTCACTATACTTGTCTCTTTAATAAGCCTCCAAGAAACATGGCTAATTTGTGGATACCACCAATGATGGTTTAAATGAGATGTACTCTATGAATTTCAGGTATTTGAATACATGGTCCTAAGTTGATGGCTCTTTGGGGAAGATTAGGAGGTGTGGTATTCCTGGAAGAAGCATGTCACAGGGGGCAGGCTATGAGGTTTCAAAAGATTTCAGTACATTTGGAGTGGGCTTGCTCTGTTTCCTGTATGTGACTTGAGATGTGAGCACTCAGTTATTTCTTCCACTATGTCTCTGCTCAGCCATCATGGACCCTAACTCTCAGGAACCATAAGCCTAAAATAAACCCTTTCTTCTATAATTTGTCTTGATCATGGTGTTTTATCAAACATTAGAAAAGTAATTCTTACATGAACTTAGGAGGAAAGAGTGGAAAAGATATTCCAAGCAAATGGAACTAAAAAACAGGAAGGTGTAACTATTCTATTATTTGACAAAATAGAGTTCAAACCAAAACCAGTGAGAGGCAACAGAGTAGATCATTTCATACTCACCAAAGGAAATTTCCATCAGAAGAAATTCCAATAAACATTTGCTGGCATCATAAAAAGAATTTGGAAGTGTTCCCCCTCTGTGCTCCAAGCTTAGGGGCAGCCAGTTTTCACATTTATAGAATACAGATTTTTTTTTAAAGTATGTCTTTATGATTCCTTAAATTTCCTCAGTGTCCATCATAATGTCTCCCTTTTCATCTCTGATTTTATGAATTGGAGCCTCTCAGCATATTTTACTTAATTTGTCCAAAGACTTGTTAATTTTGTTAATATATTCAATAAACCAACTCCAGGACAGGCACCATATCTAAAGCATCTAAACAACACAACTGGACTCAATGGGTTTTTAAAATAGAAAGAGAGAAAAAACAGGAAGTTGAGTGAGTAGGGAGGTGGGAGTGAACTGGAAGGAGTTGAATGAGGGGAGGTGAATGTGATTAAAATACATGGTATGTAATTATCAAAGAATTAATACAATATTTTTAAAAAGGAGAAATTGTGGTTTAGTGTTAAAAATGTGGTGAGCAAAAAGAAGGTAGATACAAAGCTGTAATGGGAATAGAACCAACTTACTGTGTAAGAGAGTACAATTGGGGGCAAGAAAGGACTTTGAGAGGAGATGGAAATGTTCATATTTCTCAGCTGGACATGATGTTGCATGTCTTTAATCCTACCACTTGGGATGCAAAAATACAAAAGCAAGTGGATCTCCATGAGTTTGAGGGCAACCTTGTCAATATAGCAAGATTCAGGCTGGCCAAGGTGAGCACACACACACACACACACACATTTATATATGCACACATCTTTAATCTCAGCACTCAGGAGGCAGAGGCAGGCACATCTCTGAGTTCCAGGTCAGCCTAATCTACAGAGAGAATACCAGGATAGACAGGGTAACACAGAAAAACATGGTCTTGGAAAAAACAAACAAACAAACAAACACCCACCAACAACAACAAACCACCAGAAAACATAGAAAAATATTCAGGAATAAAGGACACTAGACATCAGCACTGAATGCATGTGAACCTGAACATGGAGGAAATACCTAGAGTGACATTATCCAGTCAGTGAATGAGTATGTGCATCCTAGATTAGAACAAATTATTGTACTAATACCAAATGTCCTGATTCTGATCACTTGGTTATGGTTGAAAAAGATGAAGTGTTGTCCCTAGAAAATATTTAAGAACTTTTGGGCCTCGATTTTGTTGGTTTGTTTGGTTCTATGACACAGACCCTCACTGTATTCATTATTTTATTTTTCAGCAATCTTGTCTTAGCCTCCTAATTGCTGAGATTATGAGTGCAAGCCACTACATCTAGCCAACTCCAATTATTACCACCATTTCTATCAGGCTTCAACTTATCATAGATGGATTAAGAAGGATCAGAATGAACACTAGTGTCTTGGATAAAATATATTCAGTAGCTTCTTGAACTATCCTTGTAAATGTTCTCCAAATTACATTCTATGGACAAAAGAAATGTGTATAATAATGAAGAAAACTTCTACATGAAACAAAACACACAAAACAAAACAGCAATCAACTAATAAGTAAGAAATTGAAGCCCACAACTATATTATAGTTCTTAATTGTGCTTTCAATTAAGACAATGTATCCTATTGATAATGAAATACTCAGGCTGTTTATTAGGGTTCTTTATTTAGTTCTATGAGTATTTAAAAAAAACAAAAAGAGCAGATTTTTCAGGGGCTTGGGGCAAAGCGTGTCCATGCACCAGAGAAGACATGCTCCTCCAGGAAGAAAGATGGCCTCTTCTCTGTCAAGTCAGATTCTGGAGAACATTCTCAACCTCTTTCAGCTTGTCTCTCTGTTTGCACAGAGGTCTAAGTCCTATGATCACAACACTTGTTCATAAGAAGTCACAAATTATTACAGGAAACAAATGAAGATCAGCACATTCCATTTTACCTTTACCTCTTGCTGGAGAGTTAATCAGGGAATTTATTCAGTCTCTTCTCACATATACAGGAGTAGAATTTAAAACAGTTATCATTATCTAGTCTTGTTCTAGATAAAAATGCACATTTTCCAGTCTTAGGATTGGAACCTGTTATGTTCAACTCACTAAGGAACAAAAACAATGGGCAATTGTTTAATTTTGAATATTCATTGAAATATCATGATATTGGCCAAAGTATACAGAATATGGAACTATTAGTAGTAAGTTCATCACTAAAATGTTTTCTTTATGCTAAGTTCATTAAAAAGAAATAGTCTCTTGATCATACCAAAATCCCCATCTTACTCCAAACTCGCAATTTTTATTCAGCTGGTAATATTGATTTTCAATATTTCTGAGCAATTATTTTATGCTACAACTGCTTTCCCACTTATATTTTGTCAATAAACATGCTAGGTAGAAACAAATGTACGTAGAACACAGAACAAGGTCCCATATGCTCATGTGTTGTAGAATATTATTTTAAGATGTGTTACATTTGTTAATGCTGTACAACATTTTGTTGAATGATACAAAGATGCGTTTCATTCTTTTATGTTGCATTTGGTTAACTTTGAGAAGCTGTGTTATTGTGCCTGTCTAAAACACCTGATTGGTCTAATAAATAGCTGAAAGGCCAGTAGCAAGGAAGGAGAAACAATAGGCAGGGCTGGCAGACAGAGAGAATAATTAGAAGGACAAATCTGGGAAGAAAGGATCGGGGAGCAAAACCAAGGAAAGGAGGACTCAAGGGACCAGACACCCAGACACCCAGTCAGCCACTGAGTAAGACTGAAAGTAGGATTTACAGAAGTAAGAGAAAGGTAAAAACCCAGAGATAAAAGTTACACAGGATAATTTAGGTCAAGAAAAGCTGGATAGAAACAAGCCAAGTTAAGACCAGGCATTTATAGATAAATAAGAATAAGACTGTGTGATTTATGTGAAAGCTCAAAAAGCAAAGAGTACAAAACTGACAGAAATCAGATACCAACTCAGGCTGAGGTGTCAGCAGGAGTTGGGAAAAACCTGAAATGGTCAGGGAAGCACTGTAGCCAGTTTTCCCCCCAATTGTTAGAGAAGCTGATTAAAGAATGCACTCAAAATGGAGACCCTAAATAATTAATCTAGCCAGGCATAGTGGGGCACAATTGTAGTCCCAGTATTTGGGAGATGAAGGTAGGAGGATCACAGTTCAAGACCTAGGGAGTTTGAAGGTAGTCTGGACTAATGAGACTCTGGCAAAGAAAGGTAGAAAGAGAATTAAACCCACTCACACTACATGGAACTGAGACTTCAAAGGAATCAGTTTTTAGCAAAATAAATCATGTTCTTTGAATCTTGGATTTTAGATGGGAAGAAATGTAATATTCAAATTTACCATAGGAATTTAGAAGAAAGGAAGATAAATGAAACCAAGTGGCTTGTGGGACACAGACAGAAAGGTTAGATACATTAGGAATGGAATGTACATTAGTCAGCCATGAGACATGCTCGTGGGTACAGTCAGAAAATCATGTGTGTATGTTTAACACATGTAAAAAGAAGAAAGAACCCAGAAGACACCAACTGTTCACAAAAGATATTTATTAAAAGTAAATAAAATGTATGTTTCCCCAGTGACTTGTACACGAATTGGTATGATAGCTTCCATAATTGTCAATAACTCATAATTGTCAAAACTTAGAAATGGACCATATGTTCACATGTGGAAGAATATCATGTTATATTTGTGTAATATAACATGTATGATTGGTAATAAAAAGAATGAACCACTGCTTTGTGATGAAAGCTTGAGTTACCTAAAATAATAATAATAATGATAATAATAATAATAATAATGGTAAAAGATGCAGAGAAAAATGGAGTCAATCACAAATTTGTACATAGTATATGATACTCTGAATGTCGCCATACTAATTTATAGTACAAGAGAGCACATGCCTAATTGCCTAGGGCCAGGCAGGGGAAAAAGTGCAAAAAAGAACTTTGGGAGGTAACAAAACTGCCCTGTTTTGGTGTGATGGTTCCTATTACTACAATGAAAAATCATGAACAAAAGCAACTTGGGAGGATAGGGTTTATTTTGCTTAAACTTCCACATTATAGTCCATCATCAAAGGAAGTTACAGCAAGAACCAAACTGGGCAGGAGCTTAGGGGCACAATCTAATGCATGCCAGTGGCTCAGTCAGAGGAGCAGCAGATGGCAATTGACTTCAGGGCATCAGCCCACCAGGAAACAAAACCCTGATGGGTCAATCTCAGGTATGAACGGCCCTGAGACCACAGATCCCAGAATGCCTTTTACTTCTGCTGGGCCTTCACATGTTTGCTGCTGCCATTTTCCTCTGGTATCTGGCATGGTGTGAATGGGCATGGGGAGATCCCCACTTCACTTAATGCAGTATGATCATCTCATCTTTTGAAAACATCCCATTCTACTGGGAAATTTTACCTGTGGATTATTATGAAGATGATTTCCTCTTAAATTGTACTGTTTAACTGAAGCAAAGATTTTATACAATAATAGTGTTAGTTTAAATGGGATTTTGATGATTGAGAGTTTTAATAAATATAGTAAGGCATTATAATAGAGGTTAGTTTAGTAGAAAATTAATATAGGTAAAGGTAGGATGAAATGTTGCCCCTGCCTCTGATAAAGCAGAGGCTGCAGAGGCTGAAAAATAAAACAAGGAAGTGTCACACAGCTAGAACACATGAGTTTCTATAGAGGAGCTGTATAGAATACGGTGTGGTGATATTTATTTGTACTAAAATGTGTTTTGTATGTTAATAAATAAAGTTGCCCAGGGGTCAGAGCTATTAGAGCCATAGCAAAAGCTGGGCGGTGGTGGTGCACGCCTTTAATCCCAGCACTTGGTAGGCAGAGCTAGGTAGATCTCTGTGTGTTCAAGAATACAGCCAGCATTGGAGACACATGCTTTTAATCTCAATATCAACCATAGAAGACCTGGAGGTCTGTACAGACAGGCAGTGATGAGGTGGTCATGTGGTTAGATTTACAACCAATGAGAAGGCAGAACAGAAAGACTATATAAAGACAAACACACAGGAAGTAGGTCTCTTGGCTCAAGAGGATAGCTGCAGCAGTGACGGGTAAGGCTCTTAGCTCTGACCTCTTGGGCTTTCATCTCTGCATTGGCTCTGTGTTTCTTATTTAATAAGACGGTTACTTCTACACTGTGGCTTAGGTTAATGATCAAAAACAAAAACAAAACAAACAAAAAAACTGAGTCCCGTAGCCCAGCTAGATTAAATTCTTTCAATCTTAATGTAGAGAGATGGTTCACAGGTTTCAGTGTGCATCATAGCTGAAACAAAGCCTTAAAGTAACTTCAAGTTAGATTAAGATGTTTTGATAATAGCTTTGAGATGAAGATCCCTAGAAAGGAATCTAAAGTTCACAAGGACACCTAGCTAATCATTAGGTTAGGGATCAAAATACAAAGCAGCCCAACTGTTATTAGCTGATGTATGTTCCTTGCTAGGATTGATTGTTGATCAAAGATGATGATTAATTCCTGTACACATTCTGCCCCTAATCTCCTGATACAAAAACTATTGATGAATGGGTATGCACCCTAAAGATTGAAAGTAGATCTGACTGATACTTTTTCATATGTAAAAGCTTAGGTTTGTGATTCTTTTAAGATTCTTTAAAAGATTACCTTTCAAGATAAGTAATAAGTAATTGATTCATTCTTTGTAACCACAATATGAAGCCTGCCAGCAAAGGAACTGGCTGAGAAAAATATCTTGCTTGCTTACACCCTGTTAATTTATAATAAGTTACTTAGATGTAAATGTATTCGGGTCCTTGGGATGACTTAGTTTTAAACATGTTTTTCCCTGTATTCAATATAGTCATTCACATGAAAAATAGAATGTAACTACATTGTAATTTTTATATTGCCTAGAAATTTTGTTGGGTTTCATAAGCTGCAGAGGAAAAAATAAAGTCAGAGAATAGAGAACACAGAATAAAGAATAAAGAAAAAGAGAGTGTGTGAATGTCTTTCTCCTTAGCCCTTCAGATAAATAAGTCGGAGTATGTCAACTCTGTGGATTTCTTCAAGCCCTGAGCTGCTGAAGGTTGGACCCCAGGTGAGGGTAGATGTATATGTCACAAAGGAGTGCAGCTTCCTGGCCTGCTTCCCCAAATTTGCTCAGCCGACTTTCTTACAATACCCAATACTACCAGCCCAGGAGGAAACCACCTAAAACGGGATGGCGCCTCCCACATCAGTCACTAATTAAGAAAATGCCCTACAAACTTGCCTACAGCCAGATGTTTGTTATTGAGGCACTTTCTCACTTGAGGTTTACTCTTCTCAGAGGACACTAGCTTGTGTCAAGTTGACAGAAAACTAATTTGCAGAATGGTGCTTATAAAAGGTGTACATATTTGCTAAAACTCATATTTCTCATGACTTACAGAGGGTGCATTTTATTACATGAACACTCCAATTCCAAGACTTGAATTTTTAATGTAATTGTCAAAAGAGAGAAAGAAGGAAGGGGGAAGGAGGGAGGGAGGGAAGGAAGAAAAAAAGAAAGATAAGGAAAGAAAAAGAAAGAAAGAAAGGAAGGAAGGAAGGAAGGAAGGAAGGAAGGAAGGAAGGAGGAAGGAAGGAAGGAAGGAAGAAAGAAAGAAAGAAAGAAAGAAAGAAAGAAAGAAAGAGAAGGAAGGAGAGAGAAAGCAAGCAATCAGGAGTCAAACTTTCAGAACTAAAGCACATTAAAAGTGAATGTACTGCATGATCCTGAATATAAGGAAATATCAACAGTGACATGATCCAGAAAACTGACAAAACTAACTAATAAGAATATGGATTACAAATTAGAACATATTAATAAATCAATCTACATTTATTGAGTTTAATTGTTTCAGTATGATGTTGTGGAAAATTGCTTGTACCTAAAAATATTTATGGATGGCTTAGTATTATTATGATAACCATTATTATTATGAGGCTTCATGAGACAGAATCTCACTCTAGCACACAATGACCTCAAACATACTATGTAGCTTAGGCTTCCCTCAAACTCATTTACCTATAAGATTATAAATCTTGAACTTTCACATGCACCTGGCCTCAATGAATATTAATGTATCTATGGAGCTTCAACTCATCATCAAATGGATCAAAGAG